CCGTACCGGGCGACACTCAGCAGACACCGCACCCCGGGGACAAGGGCCTGCGGAGCCGCGGCTTCAGGGGGAGCTTCTCCTGCTCGTGAAACAGGGAAGTCGTTTTGGAGTTAACTGTGATCAGACCAAGTGCATGGTTTTAAAAATTCCAGTTTAGACTTTGATGAGGCCAGTGTGCAAAATAAAGCAAGGGCATCCTTGTGACTTCTTATATAGAAATATTAATTTTTTTAAATTTATTTTTTGTCAATCCTCACCCGGGGATATTTTTTCCATTCCATTGATTTTTAGAGAGAGTGAGAGGAAGGAAGGGAGGGGGAGAGAAAGAGAAACATTGATGTGAGAGAGAGACATCAACTCATTGCCTCCCCAGCACAGGCCCAGACCCGGGCCAAGGGTCCTACCTGAAACCCCCAGGTATGTGCCTTGGACCAGAACTGAACCCACCACCCTTCAGTGCTCGGACTGATGCTCTAACCACTGAACCACTTGAACCAGGGCTAGAAATACTAGTTTTTTGTTTTCTCAATGCCAGTGATAAAATTAGGAGACTAGAGAGGATTTAGTAAGAGTTTTGGGGGGGTTTCTAAGTGCTATGAATCAGCCAGATTTCAGTTATGAATTAATTTCAGTTACTAGCAAAGTTGTCTTGGGAGAGGCAGCTGCTTAGGAGTTTGACTGCTCAGGGTTTCTGTTGTGATGTCCATGAGGAATGGGCCAACTGCAGTCCCTAGATTATATCTGCTTGTCGATTTGCAATTTCTCAGGAAAAGCTCTAGGGCATGTTGAAGATATTCTGTGAATCTTCAGAGTTTCAAAGGACACAGTTCATGCCCTATATTGGAAGAAAGCTCAGACTTTAATCCATTTAACAGGTGATTATTTGACAGCCCTTCCCCATCCCCCCACACTTGTTCTCGTTAATTCCTGATGTTGTTGGATATGAACTTTTTGCTCTGTTCTTTAATGCACATGAGGAGGTTTGTAAGCAACTCAAGCTGTGCAAAGAATATTCTTAATACCTTGGAGAAAGATTTTTTTGTTTTTGTTAATCCTTACCCGAGGATATTTTTTCCATTGAATTTTAGGGAGAGTGAAAGGGAGTAAGGGGATTGGGGGAAGAGCGAGAGAAACACCAATATAAGAAAGACACATCTATTGGTTGACTCCCACACGCACCCAGACTGGGCCTAGGGGTGGAACCTGCAACCCAAGTAGGTGCCCTTGACCAGGGATTGAACCCGTGACCCTTCTGTGTGTGGGCCGATGCTCTAACCACTGAGCAACTCTAGCCAGGGCTGGAGAAAGATTTTTAAGTAAATTATTAGGGTTGTGTACTGAACTCTGTGCGAAGCAGCTGCTGTGCAGTGATTACTTAGTTCAGGAAGTACGTTGGTCCTCTGTACCTGGGGGTTCCACATCCAAGGGCAGGTTGAAAGAAAATATTAGGAAAAAAGTTACAGTCTTGATGTATACTCTGTACTCCAGCCTATGATGCTGCATGTTGTTTCTACTGAACACATACAGACCTTTTTCCTTGTCGTCATTCGCTGAACAATACAGTGTAACTGCTGTTTACATTGTGTTAAGTTTAATAAGGAATCTAGCCATGATTTAAAGTTTACAGGGGGATGACTCATGAACAACAGGGCTTGGAACCGTGTGGGTCTAATTATATGTGGATTTTTTTCCAGTAAATACTGTAAATGCAGTTTTTTCCCCTTATGATTTTCTTAACATTTTCTTATCCCTATTGTAAGAGTACTACGTATACATATGTGGTTAAAGTATGTGTTAGTGGACTTTTTATATTACGAGTAGGCTACTAGCAGTTAATTTGGGGGGAGTCAAAAGTTATATGTGATTTTTTTTACTCTCTGGGGAGGGGTGGAGTCAGCTGTACTACACCCTTTATTTTATTTTTTTTTATTTTTTAAATATATCTTTATTGACTTCAGAGAGAGGAAGGGAGACGGAGGGAGAGAGTTAGAAACATCAATGATGAGAGAGTTGTCATTGATTGGCTGCCTTCTGCACACCCTTGACTGGGGATCAAGCCTGCAACCTGGGCATGTGCCAGCCTGGGAATCGAACCGTGACCTCCTGGATCCTAGGTCGATGCTCGACTGCTGAGCCACGCCTGGCTAGGCGTGTATTACGCCCTTTATACAAAGGACATGAGCATGCTTGGATTTTGGTGTCCGAGGTGGGTCCTGGAACCCATCCCTCATGGACACCAAGGGATGACTGTGTGTATCTGTGTTTCAGACCCCTGTTCCGCGTAGCTTTCGGAGTGTGACCAACCAGTCGGGGAAATGGAGCTGTTGATGCGTGAAGAGCAGTGATCGTGGTCAGTGTGGTCCTTCTCTTTACTTTGTACTTGTCGATTTTTCAGTCTGGTTTCCTCCTCCTTTGGTGTGATGATTGCCATGTGAGGGGACCAGAGCAATGAGTGACCGTGGGCCCCCTGGCGGCACGTACTAGGAGCCTCCTGTGTTGGGTAGAGGCCTGTCCACTCTCCCTCGCCTGCTTTCGGTTTCCTCCTGAGCTTCTCTGCACAAAACATAGTTTCAGAGTTGGCAACTGTCAATCTTCTAATGGCTCTTGGATTTTTTAGGGCACGACTTAAATCTCAAGATGTGAGGCCGTGAGCTGTCAGATCCATTTTTCCTATTCATGTTTTGTGTTTTACTGAATCTGGCTGCATAACAAGTCACAGAGAGCCTCTAGCACTTAAGGTCCGCAGCCTCAGGCCTGGCTACCTTCCTGACCCTGTGTCCTGCCGGTAAAGCCCCCTGCCCAGCTCCTCGTGCCCCTAAGGTACCTGCTCTGCTTGGTTTCCCATCTCCTTCAGGGAAGGCCCTTTTCCAGCAAAGTCTCTACCACAGGCACGGCTGGTTCCAGCCTGGGCTGGCCTGGGTTGGGGTGTCCCGCTGCCTACTGGCTGCCCTCTGTGTGGTGGCTCCTGGATCCAGCCGTGTGGCCCTGTGCTTGCTCTGTCTGATACACTACATCTGCAGGTGTGAACTGGGAGTTTTCATCTGAGGCCGCTGTTCCCCGAGCCTGACCCGTGGTCAGCTCACCTACTTGAGGCCGAGGGGGCAGCATCAGGAGCTGTACTGTGTGGAGGGCTCCCTCCTTATTACAGCCCTGACCACATCTCCTAGAAGTGGCCCTGGGTCTGGGTCTCTGAAGTCTGACCCAGCAGCGTTCTTTGCCTCTGGGCCTTGGGTCTCCGTCTCAGGTGAACAGTGGTTCCTGTTGGCATTTCTTGCTTTGAGACAGATCATAGGTTGATGCTCAACCACTGAGCATGCTGGCCAGGCTAGGAAACATTTTTAAAACATCATGAATTCATACTGACATTTTCAGTACAAATTTAAAATTATATGGGTTTACTTAATTTGATTTTAAAAATTTTTGTATTTTCACTATCCTGAAAATCTTGATTCTTAATGCCACTGGCGTAATTACTTGTTTTATGCTAAAATATAATAGATTGCTAACTTGCAGTCCTATGTTACTACTACTAATGAAACTACTTAGCAAAGTTTAAGGTATTTTTGTTTTTAAGTTCTTTTTGTCCTTAATTTATACAATTGATACTGAAGAATAGAAGTACTAGGAGCATTGATCCCCATGCAGTTGAAAATCCATGTATACAGTTGGATTCCCCAAAAACTTAGTTGGCCCTTGGTATCCACAGGGATCCTGGAAGCAATTCCAGAACCCCCTGCGGATGCTCAGGTCCCCTGTATAAAATGGCATAGAACAACACATACAGTGGCTCTCTGCATCCAGGGACTCCCAACTACACGTCCAAAACAGTAGTACAGGTAATTAATTTAAAAATCCATGTATAAGTGGACCTGCACAGTTCAAACCCATATTGTTCAGAGTCACCTGTGTCCTGCTTAGGATGAATAGTTAAAGCATCATGTTTTAAAGCCCTTGATGAATATTCTTTGGTCTGTGGCTTCTCTCTGTCTTTCTCTGCCTTGCCCTCTAACTCACTAACCATATCCTCACTGAGGATAATAGAAAAGGAAAGAAAATTCTGTCAGCTCCCCAGAATCCTGCCACGTGACCTGTCCCAATCAACTCTCCCTCCCTTCTTCCTGACCAAAGTAACTGCTGACCTCACTTTTATGGAAGTTACTCTCACTTTTCTTCACAGTTTCACGAGTGAATTGTGCTCCTCCACGTAGGAAAGTGTTGCCTGGTTCTGTGACACGTTAGTCCCTTACCATCTCGCCTACCTCCATGGGCATTATTTGTGGAGGAGGCCCTGTGGGTGGGCCCATGTGCCTCAGTCTAGATTTGCTGATTGTGGCCCTCTGGTGGGTGCGACATGTTCCTGTGTCCTTGGTTCCCCGCAAGTCGGTAGTTGGTCTAAAGGCTTGTTCAGATTCAGGTCTGAGCTCTGGTGAGTCCCCTGCATGGGGGTGTGGTGGTGTTCCATCAGGGGGCACAGGTGGGGGGTCGTCTCTTTTTGGTGTTGGCAGCAGTGAAGCACAGGCCTGCATGCGCTCCTCCACGAGAAGCTGTGAAACGGGAAGTTCTGGTTGAGTTCCTGAGGCTGCCTCGTGTATGAGCTGGGCCTCCAGGAAGAGAAACCTGCCCTGACCTACTGTTTGGTTATTGAGCGCTAATGCTCCTGTAGCACACTGAGGATCAGAGTTTAATCCTTTCTCTTTGTCAGGTTTCAAAATAACCATTTTTCTATCATCCTCCCAAAGTGACCAGCTGATTTTATTTTGATATGAACGCATAGGCTTAACACATTGGATGGGTTTTAATGTGATTATGAGCCTATTTTATGTTCAAATTTCCTCATTTTTGGACAGTGGGAGCCTTTACAAGGTGGGTCCTGGACCCTTTGACAGAACTCGAATACGCTCTCAGCGGCTCCTTGCTCTCTGGTGCGCCACTGTGTCCCAGGCTGACCTGTGCTCTCCCCAGCCAGGAGGAAGTCATGCGGGCAAGGAGCTCTGGTCTTTTTCAATGGGCAACAGTGTTTCAAATCCTCCACCTAGATGTTAGGGATGCTCATTGCTGCTGGGTGGTCACTGTTTCCAGGTGTTTGCAGTGAACGGATCTAGGGTTTATATCTGTTCACTGACTACAGGATGTTTATTGGACCTTTGGAATCTCATGTCTGTCCTTTCTTACGCTGAGAATCCTGATTCTCAAGGGCAGAGGAGATGATATACTAGACTATCACTAATCATTTGCCTTACCCCTTGCGGCACAGTCTCAGAATAGCAGTTGCAGTACCAATACCACCTGTGTTGTTAACAGAGGGCAGTGAAAATACTTTTTGCATCAGACTTCCCATGTCCTCCCATCCGTTACTTGGTAGTGTACATAGCCATTGCGACTTCCTCCTGTCCCTTGAACCCTCACTCAGTCTTAGTTCAGATACATAGACACTCAGTGTACACACCAAGTCCTGATGTCACAGATTCTCTAGACTTCAGTTGGGGTTTGTTCTCTAGTAGACTCTTGGGAAGGATGCATGGAAAAAACTTTACTCACTTTTGCACGATGGTAATAGTTTCTCTGTGTCCCTCACACTTGAAAGGCAAATTGACTGCATATAAAATCCTTGCTCACTTTTTCTCCCCTTGGATATCTTAGATACGTAATTCAGTTTTCTAGCATAAAACATTGCTGTCATACTCGGGACATTTTATGTTCTTTCCCCTATAACTGACTTTATTTTTTGCCTGAATGGCACTTCGTTTTCTTTAGGTCCAATAATTTTGCTAGACTATACTTCAGTCTAGCAAATTGTCTTTTAAATTGGTCAGTTTCTCTTGACTCTTTCCATCCCTTTACTTCTGGTTCATTAAAAAAAGTCTCTTTATCTTAAGCAGTCATCTGTGGAGTATATTTGTCCTTATGTTGCTTATAACTTAGTCTTTATTCTTAAATTATTTTACTTTATTTCTAATATCTTTCTAGAATCCATAACCTCATTTCAGTGTTTTTCTATCCTGACTTATGTCACTTTTGTATTATTATTATTTTTTTAAACATCAACGATGAGAGAGTCATTGATCGGCTGCCTCCTGTACGCCCCTTACTGGGGATCAAGCACGCAACCCGGGCATGTGCCCTGACTGGGAACTGAACCCTGATCTCCCGGATTATAGGGCGATGCTCAACCACTGAGCCACACTGGCCAGGCCTTTGTATTTTTTTTAATATCATTAGCTTCTTTTGAAGTCAGGTATACTTTTTATTTAATGTTTGTGGGTAGTTTTTATCGCGCGCTCTACTACCAGTCAACGTAAAACGTATAAATACGTTTCCCGCATACAGTGTGTTAATTTGAAGCTATGGTTTCCTTGTGTGCTTTCATTATCTATAGAGATGTTTATATTTTCTTTATTATTTTTTTCTCATATCTTTATGAGGGATTTCACCTTACTTCTTTTTTTTTAATTTTTAAAAAATATATCTTTATTGATTTCAGAGAGAGGAAAGGAGAGGGAGAGAGAAAGAGAAACATCAATGATGAGAGAGTCATGGGAATCGAGCCTGCTACCCAGGCATGTGCCCTGACCGGGAATCTAACCCCGATCGCCTGGATCCTAGGTCAACGCTCAACTGCTGAGCCATGCAGGCCGGGCCACCTTAATCCTTTTTTGTTTATTGTGTCCACCAACCTAGAAGTTCCACAAACCCTGTACTTTTGGGATTTCTATGGAGGTTTGAACATGTAGTCATGACCAGTTGTTAAATCAATTTCCAGCCCATCTCTCCCTCTCAGGAGGATGGGGGAAGGTGTAGGGCTGTAGTTCCCAGTTTATAGTCATTGCTTGGTCTTTCTAGTACTGAGTCCCCATTTAGGAGCCACCTAGAGTCACCTCATTAGGACAAGACATCCTTCTCTCTTTCAGGAGCTCTGTGTCAGGAACCTGGTTCAAACTCCAAATATTACCAGGAACTGGGGACAGAGACATATATATATATTTCATATTATTTCGCATTGAGTATAATTGACATATAATAAATTGTAGAATTGGACAAACATATACACACACTCAAACATTTGTGTCATGCTTCTATACATAAACAGCTGCTATCAACATTTGGGACAAGCTACAGTCCCACGGGGCTCCACTGCGCTGCAGCTGCTCTGCGAGCAAATGAAGTGGGCAGTCCAGTGTTCCTCACATGTGTTTGTTCACAGGCCCTGCTGGCTGGCGCTGCTCCTGGCACCAGGTTTTCATCTCTGGGCATCCAATGCTCTTCAGCGGATGGGCTTGAGGTGGCAAGGATGCTGTGCCTACATGGCTGCTGGAAGCACTCAGTGAGTGTGTGGCCAGCGTCCTGCCATCTGTTGGGGCTGAGGCAGGTGGTGGGGTTAAGCCCATGCCCATCCTCTGGGTGGGCAGCCTGAACCCATAGGTAGAGCCTATGTCAGACCCCAGCCCAGCTGCCCTGGGGAGTCACCGTCTGCTTCAGGGAAGCCTGACCCTGCTCTCGGCGTTGCTCAGCGTCCCAGCAGGGCAGGGCCACTGCACATCTGGGGCAGCTCTGAATCGGCTGAATTGTGGTGAGGGACCCAGCTCTCCCCTTTCCAGCCCACACCCAGCCCAGACCCTGGTCTTCCGTGGCCATTCTCTGCTCCCACAGCTGAACAGGAGCCTTTCCTTCCCATTTTCTTGATTTCTCCTCTGAAATGGATTTTATTTAGAGGCTAGCTGAGCCAACAGGTCAGAAATCAGCCTTTTGTCCCCAACAACTGGCATTCCAGATTTCGCTTATGTGTATATTAGAGTCTTTCTCTTCTGGTTGTATTTATATTAAACGCCTGATTGGTGTTTACAAAAAAAAAAGTATGTTTTTTGTAGGTTATGTACAGTCTTGTTTTATTATGGTAAGCATGCTCTTCCTGGTATCTGTATTATCAAATTGCCAAGGATGGGTTTTTTGTTCCTTTTTATACTTCTTTTTCAAAACTGCTCCACTCCTTCTTTACCTCTTCGCGCTTTACAGCTAGGCTCGGCCATGTTGCTGCCCATGCCTGTTCCATGTATTCAGTCGACTCCAATATGCCTTCAGAACATCGCATGTCATAGTATTTACAGTTCAACCTGATGGAGATCTTAGTTCTTCAAGACAGTGTTCCCTGCACCCATACGCTGCTCGGCTCTCAGGACTGTCCTCCATTCTTGCATGCAGGNGTTTTAATGTGATTATGAGCCTATTTTATGTTCAAATTTCCTCATTTTTGGACAGTGGGAGCCTTTACAAGGTGGGTCCTGGACCCTTTGACAGAACTCGAATACGCTCTCAGCGGCTCCTTGCTCTCTGGTGCGCCACTGTGTCCCAGGCTGACCTGTGCTCTCCCCAGCCAGGAGGAAGTCATGCGGGCAAGGAGCTCTGGTCTTTTTCAATGGGCAACAGTGTTTCAAATCCTCCACCTAGATGTTAGGGATGCTCATTGCTGCTGGGTGGTCACTGTTTCCAGGTGTTTGCAGTGAACGGATCTAGGGTTTATATCTGTTCACTGACTACAGGATGTTTATTGGACCTTTGGAATCTCATGTCTGTCCTTTCTTACGCTGAGAATCCTGATTCTCAAGGGCAGAGGAGATGATATACTAGACTATCACTAATCATTTGCCTTACCCCTTGCGGCACAGTCTCAGAATAGCAGTTGCAGTACCAATACCACCTGTGTTGTTAACAGAGGGCAGTGAAAATACTTTTTGCATCAGACTTCCCATGTCCTCCCATCCGTTACTTGGTAGTGTACATAGCCATTGCGACTTCCTCCTGTCCCTTGAACCCTCACTCAGTCTTAGTTCAGATACATAGACACTCAGTGTACACACCAAGTCCTGATGTCACAGATTCTCTAGACTTCAGTTGGGGTTTGTTCTCTAGTAGACTCTTGGGAAGGATGCATGGAAAAAACTTTACTCACTTTTGCACGATGGTAATAGTTTCTCTGTGTCCCTCACACTTGAAAGGCAAATTGACTGCATATAAAATCCTTGCTCACTTTTTCTCCCCTTGGATATCTTAGATACGTAATTCAGTTTTCTAGCATAAAACATTGCTGTCATACTCGGGACATTTTATGTTCTTTCCCCTATAACTGACTTTATTTTTTGCCTGAATGGCACTTCGTTTTCTTTAGGTCCAATAATTTTGCTAGACTATACTTCAGTCTAGCAAATTGTCTTTTAAATTGGTCAGTTTCTCTTGACTCTTTCCATCCCTTTACTTCTGGTTCATTAAAAAAAGTCTCTTTATCTTAAGCAGTCATCTGTGGAGTATATTTGTCCTTATGTTGCTTATAACTTAGTCTTTATTCTTAAATTATTTTACTTTATTTCTAATATCTTTCTAGAATCCATAACCTCATTTCAGTGTTTTTCTATCCTGACTTATGTCACTTTTGTATTATTATTATTTTTTTAAACATCAACGATGAGAGAGTCATTGATCGGCTGCCTCCTGTACGCCCCTTACTGGGGATCAAGCACGCAACCCGGGCATGTGCCCTGACTGGGAACTGAACCCTGATCTCCCGGATTATAGGGCGATGCTCAACCACTGAGCCACACTGGCCAGGCCTTTGTATTTTTTTTAATATCATTAGCTTCTTTTGAAGTCAGGTATACTTTTTATTTAATGTTTGTGGGTAGTTTTTATCGCGCGCTCTACTACCAGTCAACGTAAAACGTATAAATACGTTTCCCGCATACAGTGTGTTAATTTGAAGCTATGGTTTCCTTGTGTGCTTTCATTATCTATAGAGATGTTTATATTTTCTTTATTATTTTTTTCTCATATCTTTATGAGGGATTTCACCTTACTTCTTTTTTTTTAATTTTTAAAAAATATATCTTTATTGATTTCAGAGAGAGGAAAGGAGAGGGAGAGAGAAAGAGAAACATCAATGATGAGAGAGTCATGGGAATCGAGCCTGCTACCCAGGCATGTGCCCTGACCGGGAATCTAACCCCGATCGCCTGGATCCTAGGTCAACGCTCAACTGCTGAGCCATGCAGGCCGGGCCACCTTAATCCTTTTTTGTTTATTGTGTCCACCAACCTAGAAGTTCCACAAACCCTGTACTTTTGGGATTTCTATGGAGGTTTGAACATGTAGTCATGACCAGTTGTTAAATCAATTTCCAGCCCATCTCTCCCTCTCAGGAGGATGGGGGAAGGTGTAGGGCTGTAGTTCCCAGTTTATAGTCATTGCTTGGTCTTTCTAGTACTGAGTCCCCATTTAGGAGCCACCTAGAGTCACCTCATTAGGACAAGACATCCTTCTCTCTTTCAGGAGCTCTGTGTCAGGAACCTGGTTCAAACTCCAAATATTACCAGGAACTGGGGACAGAGACATATATATATATTTCATATTATTTCGCATTGAGTATAATTGACATATAATAAATTGTAGAATTGGACAAACATATACACACACTCAAACATTTGTGTCATGCTTCTATACATAAACAGCTGCTATCAACATTTGGGACAAGCTACAGTCCCACGGGGCTCCACTGCGCTGCAGCTGCTCTGCGAGCAAATGAAGTGGGCAGTCCAGTGTTCCTCACATGTGTTTGTTCACAGGCCCTGCTGGCTGGCGCTGCTCCTGGCACCAGGTTTTCATCTCTGGGCATCCAATGCTCTTCAGCGGATGGGCTTGAGGTGGCAAGGATGCTGTGCCTACATGGCTGCTGGAAGCACTCAGTGAGTGTGTGGCCAGCGTCCTGCCATCTGTTGGGGCTGAGGCAGGTGGTGGGGTTAAGCCCATGCCCATCCTCTGGGTGGGCAGCCTGAACCCATAGGTAGAGCCTATGTCAGACCCCAGCCCAGCTGCCCTGGGGAGTCACCGTCTGCTTCAGGGAAGCCTGACCCTGCTCTCGGCGTTGCTCAGCGTCCCAGCAGGGCAGGGCCACTGCACATCTGGGGCAGCTCTGAATCGGCTGAATTGTGGTGAGGGACCCAGCTCTCCCCTTTCCAGCCCACACCCAGCCCAGACCCTGGTCTTCCGTGGCCATTCTCTGCTCCCACAGCTGAACAGGAGCCTTTCCTTCCCATTTTCTTGATTTCTCCTCTGAAATGGATTTTATTTAGAGGCTAGCTGAGCCAACAGGTCAGAAATCAGCCTTTTGTCCCCAACAACTGGCATTCCAGATTTCGCTTATGTGTATATTAGAGTCTTTCTCTTCTGGTTGTATTTATATTAAACGCCTGATTGGTGTTTACAAAAAAAAAAGTATGTTTTTTGTAGGTTATGTACAGTCTTGTTTTATTATGGTAAGCATGCTCTTCCTGGTATCTGTATTATCAAATTGCCAAGGATGGGTTTTTTGTTCCTTTTTATACTTCTTTTTCAAAACTGCTCCACTCCTTCTTTACCTCTTCGCGCTTTACAGCTAGGCTCGGCCATGTTGCTGCCCATGCCTGTTCCATGTATTCAGTCGACTCCAATATGCCTTCAGAACATCGCATGTCATAGTATTTACAGTTCAACCTGATGGAGATCTTAGTTCTTCAAGACAGTGTTCCCTGCACCCATACGCTGCTCGGCTCTCAGGACTGTCCTCCATTCTTGCATGCAGGGACCTCACTGTCTGTAAGACATTCAGTGTTTAGTCTGTGAATTGGTTCTTTCAGAGGTTAACTGCAGGCTTTTTAGTTCCTAAAATGTGTGCGCTTTCTGATAGCAAAAGCGAATGAAATTGATCGCAGGGAGTTCAGCTTTGCTGATTATAGCAGCTGCAGGTGCCTCCAGTACACTGCTTGGTGGGTGAGGCCTCAACCCTAGCCCAAACCAACCTCTGTATACTGTTGCAGGGTTTTTCTGTGTTCCTCCATCCCTTTATTAATAGACCATTTGCATTTAAATTCCTATCTTTATTTGTTCCTTATTTTCCGGTTTTGGGGTATTTTCATTATGTAAGCGGATTGTAAAAGAAGTCAAGGAACCAGGTTTTCTATCTTATTTTATCACTATGGAATTTTCTTCTATGCATATTGAGGCTGATATGTCCCTGGCACTACAGGTTTGAAATGTATAATTCAGTTAAGTGCTTGACCTGATTTCATCTTTTGTAGGCAATGCAGAAGGACCATCATGATGGTAGCAATCCTGTTTCCAGGGCAACAAGCAAGTCTACACAACGTGAAGTTACCACTCCTGGAGAGCAGAGGTCTGCACCCTGAGACGATGTGCTCCTGAGTTACATCTTCTGTTTTCCAGTAACATTTGTGATTAGCCATATTCATAAACATCCCGAAAGATAAAATTATTTTGAAAACCCTGAAGATAATGTACATTTGGGGGCACAACTGAGCGTTTGGATTATTTTTTACCAACCTGAGAGATCAACATGATGACACAGCCAGAGCAGTGATGGTGAGTCATGGAGGATAACCAGGAAACCCACCCCAAAGGGGACGGTGATTTAGTTTCTGATGAAATAAATTTTAAAACAGAAGAGAAAGAGGATGGAATTCCAAATCACAGCTTGGAAAGAATGGACTTTAAAATTGAACAGGAGGACAGGAAGGTAGCTGACAGTGGTGATGAACAGGCAGAGATCAGAGAAGTGAGCTACAGCTGCAAGCCCCCAGGGAAGTGTTTGCCCCCCGACCATGAGGACGACTATGGGGCCCTGTTCTCGCAGTACAGCAGCACGCTGTACGACGTCGCCATGGAGGCTGTGACGCAGAGCCTCCTGTCCAGCCGCAACATGAGCTCCAGGAAGAAGTCCCCAGCCTGGAAACATTTCTTCATCTCCCCTCGGGACAACACGAAGGCAGTGTGTGTGTACTGCATGAAGGAGTTCAGCCGTGGCAAAAACGAGAAGGATCTGAGCACAAGCTGCCTCATGCGTCATGTGAGGAGGGCGCACCCCACAGTGCTTATCCAGGAAGAGGGCAGTGTGTCTGCCTTGGCCTCCCTCTCCTCCCCTGCACTGCTGCTCCCACCACAGCCCTCATCTGTTGGAGACCTGGGCACCATACTGTCACCCATCAAACTTGTCCAGAAAATGGCCTCCAAGATCCCATCTCCTGAGCAAGTGACGGAGGAATCTGTGTCTGTCGTGTCTTCTGAAGAGGTCTCCTCTGACTTGTCCATCTCTGAGAAGTACAGCCAGGAAGAAGTCCTGGTGGGGCCACCCGCTCCCCTCCCCACTCTTCAGTATGATGACACTGCAGAGAATGGGCCAGAGAAGAGCCTTCCTCTTCCAAAGAGCACCTCTGGGTCCCGAAGGTGGTCCGCTGTCTGGAAGCACTTCTACCTGTCCCCTCTGGACAGCTCCAAGGCCGTGTGCATTCACTGCATGAGTGAGTTCAGCAGAGGGAAGAACGGGAAGGACCTGGGTACCAGCTGCCTCATCAGGCACATGTGGCGAGCACACCGTGCCATTGTGCTGCAGGAGAAGAGCGGGGGTGCAACCATGCCTCCCCCTTGCTCTACCTCCCCCACCCTGCTGCACGCACTCCCACCTCCCGAGAGAGGTCCAGGCTGTGTGTCCTCATCACCAGGGAAGGCGGTCCAAGAGTCCCCCTTGGAATCCTCCTCCCCACACCAACCACCCGAGACCCTGCAGGCACGTCTGAACCCTGGGGATGTGCTGATGGAAGATGCTGTGCTGTCCTCTGATGATTTTGGCGAGGCCTCCCTGGTGTCCTCTCCTGAGAAGCAGCAGGGTGATGAGTCGAGCCCTCACCTGGTGGAGCCTGGTGCTATATTCCAGCAGAATAAAAAGGTGATGAAGAGACTGAAGTCGGAGGTTTGGCATCACTTTTCGCTAGCCCCAATGGACAGCCTGAAGGCTGTGTGCAGACACTGCGGCTGTGTCATCAGTCGGGGGAAGAAGGGTGATGTCGGGACCAGCTGTTTGATGAGACATCTCTACAGACGCCACCCAGAAGTCGTTGGGAGCCAGAGGGGCTTCCTGGGGGCTAGTTTGGCAAATCCTCCATACACCACCTTGGCGTCCACAGCAGGTTCCTCCTCCAAGGTAACTGACTTGCCAACAGTGGTCACAAAAAGCAGCCCAGTTCTATTTCCCGCTCACAGTAAAAAGACCTCCAAGCTGTGGAATCATTTTTCTGTCTGCTCTGCGGACCCCACTAAAGTCGTGTGCTTGCACTGTGGCCGGACAATAAGCAGGGGGAAGAAGCCAACCAACCTGGGCACCAGCTGTCTTCTGAGGCATTTACAGAGGTTCCACAGCAGTGTGCTCAAGACCGATGTCCCCACGACCACGCTACCCTCTTCTGCAGGAGTCCGTGTGCCCCTGAGTGCAGGATTGTCAAGAGCCTCCTCCTTTGATGACACTAATGAGAAGTTTTACGATTCTCATCCAGTTGCCAAAAAGATAACGAGTCTCATAGCTGAAATGATTGCACTTGACCTTCAGCCATATTCTTTTGTAGACAATGTTGGCTTTAACAGGCTGCTCGAATACTTGAAACCTCAGTACTCTTTGCCCTCCCCTTCCTACTTTTCCAGGACAGCTATTCCCGGGATGTACGAAAATGTGAAACAGATCATTATGTCACACCTTAAGGAGGCTGAGAGTGGTGTGGTCCACTTCACGTCTGGAATATGGATGAGTAACCAGACCCGAGAGTACCTGACACTCACTGCTCACTGGGTCACCTTTGAGTCTTCAGTCCGGCCTCACTGTGAGGACCACCACTGCTCAGCACTGTTAGACGTGTCACAGATTGACTGTGACTATAGCGGCAACAGCATTCAGAAGCAGCTGGAATGTTGGTGGGAGGCCTGGGTGACATCCACTGGCCTTCAGGTTGGCATTACCGTGACCGACAATCCCAGCATAGGAAAGACGCTGAATGAAGGGGAGCACTCCTGTGTGCAGTGCTTCAGTCACACAGTGAATCTCATTGTCAGTGAGGCCATTAAAAGTCAGAGAATGGTCCAGAATTTACTTAGCATTGCTCGGAAGTTGTGTGAGAGGGTGCTTCGCTCACACGAAGCAAAGGAGAAATTGGCAGAGCTGCAGAGGGAGTATGAATTACCACCACACCATCTTATTCAGGACGTTCCGTCCAAATGGAACACGTCCTTTCATATGCTCGAACGGCTCATTGAACAGAAGAGAGCAATTAACGAGATGTCCATTGAGTGTAATTTCAGAGAACTGATCAGCTGTGACCAGTGGGAGGTCATGCAGTCTGTGTGTCACGCGCTGAAGCCCTTTGATGCTGCAAGTCGGGAGATGAGCAGCCACATGTCCACCCTCAGCCAGGTCATCCCCATGATCCACATCCTGAACAGGAAAATCGAGATGCTGTTTGAGGAGACCATGGGCATCGACACCATGCTGAAGTCTCTGAAGGAAGCCATGGTGAGCCGTCTCTCCGCCACCCTCCATGACCCCAGGTACATCTTTGCTACACTGTTGGACCCTCGTTACAAAGCCTCCCTGTTCTCTGAGGAGGAGGCAGAGCAGTACAAGCAGGATTTAATCAGGGAACTAGAAATGCTGAATTCTACCTCAGAGGACACACCTGTCTCCAATGGGTGTGATCCAGGCTCCCCATCGAGAGACTCCAGTGGGGATGACAGCTTGTGGTCTCTCATGGCCAAGATCAAAAAGAAAGACCCAAGAGAAAAGACGAAGGTGCCTGAGGCCATGGTGCTTTCCTACCTGGAGGAGGAGGTGCTTGAACACAGCTGTGACCCACTCACCTACTGGAACCTAAAGAAGTCTGCCTGGCCGAGCCTCTCAGCCTTGGCTGTCAGGTTTTTGGGCTGTCCCCCGAGTATCGTCCCTTTGGAAAGGCTGCTTAGCACACCCACTGAGAATGGTAGCTTTGGCCAGTCCAGGCTGATGATGGAACATTTTGAAAAACTTATCTTTTTGAAAGTGAATCTTCCCTTAATATACTTTCAGTATTGAAATCACAATGGAGCTACCAAGCTAAAGATGTTGTTGCTCATTAGGCACCAGCAGTTTCTCACGGCTGGTGACTGGCACCAGTTGGGGCCAAGGAGAACATAAGACGAGGCACTCTCAGGTCCAGGCTGAGGCCCTTTCCAGTCTCACTATAATGTCTACATGTGCCTTACTCCTAGTCCTTCAGGCCAGGTACCATGGTGTATTTTTTACAAAGCCACTAGAGCGAGTTTGTCTTGTCAATTACACAATACGGTGATTAGGTTTTCATCCATAAATGTAAAGTTTTTTAAAAGCTGGGGTTTAGTAATTTGTTTTACTAGAGTGACAGAGTAGATGTAAACAGTTTTATTCTTTAGGCTTTTTATTATATTATGTAAAAACAACAAATCAGGTACTGTATTTTAGTCAAAAATTGCTTGAATTATAACAGAACAGCCTTTGTGGCTATCAAATGAAATCTGTAAATAGGAGGTGGAGTAGAAGCCATCCTGACTGATCAGTTTTTATCTGCAGCTCTAACATATGTGAGGAATGCAGAGAATGTTCTGGACGATACTGTTCACTACGACAGAGAGTGGCATTGAAGACAAAACTAAACTTAGATGTTTCATGGAATATCAGTCACATGGTGGTTGGTAAGAAGAACTTCCCCATGTTCTGTTTTTGTCTTGAGGTTTCATGTGGTCAGTTAACTGGGAGATGTCCTGGCTATTTATAAAGCGCTCCTTGCTGCCTATTGTCCAGCCAGTGGACAGCATGAGATGTTTACAGCAGTTCTGGTGATTGAACCTCCACGCCTCTGACTTAGTGTCTCTACACTTGAAGCCGTCTTTTGAAATGTGTGTATTGCTTCCATTTGGTCAAATCACGTATGAAATTCCTTTTAGAAGAAGTGGCTTATTAACAGGGAAGGAGTCGTAAGAATAGCCTTAGGTATTTAGATTTTTTTATATTACAAAAGACTCAGCCATCACGGGTATTTTAGAGTCCCAGGGACATCAGGATGAAGTGGTGTCAGTTGTCAGATTCTTTTAACAGTAATATGTCTTCAGAGTTTTTGCTACAACATCTAGAAAGTGGTGCATTTTTAATTTCACACCAATTAAGTATGCTGGGTGAAACAAGTCACTCATTGCCTGTGACCTTTTAGAAAAGTTGTTGTCTCATCAAAATACTGTACCTATTATTAATCTCACTTTGCATTGACTATGTTTTAGTGTATTTATAAACGGGGAACTCAGTTTCTGAAATTAAACTTTTTATTTGCAATTTTC